TCTATTAGTTTGTTTGCCAAGAAATCTTGGAAACGAAGTTGATTGCTTTTGGATCTCAATGCTCAATGTTATAAAAACTGGCATCTTTCTCGCAATCTATATTGAGACTACATTCCTTTATCAGATTTCATGGCAAAGAAAATTATAATCTTAATTTCTAAGTTCTTTATTTTTGATAATTTTTCTCTCTTTATTTAGTTTCCTTTCTTGATGAATATGTATTTTTTCTTGATTGATTTTGCTTTATCTATTAGTTTGTTTGCCAAGAAATCTTGGAAACGAAGTTGATTGCTTTTGGATCTCAATGCTCAATGTTATAAAAACTGGCATCTTTCTCGCAATCTATATTGAGACTACATTCCTTTATCAGATTTCATGGCAAAGAAAATTATAATCTTAATTTCTAAGTTCTTTATTTTTGATAATTTTTCTCTCTTTATTTAGTTTCCTTTCTTGATGAATATGTATTTTTTCTTGATTGATTTTGCTTTATCTATTAGTTTGTTTGCCAAGAAATCTTGGAAACGAAGTTGATTGCTTTTGGATCTCAATGCTCAATGTTATAAAAACTGGCATCTTTCTCGCAATCTATATTGAGACTACATTCCTTTATCAGATTTCATGGCAAAGAAAATTATAATCTTAATTTCTAAGTTCTTTATTTTTGATAATTTTTCTCTCTTTATTTAGTTTCCTTTCTTGATGAATATGTATTTTTTCTTGATTGATTTTGCTTTATCTATTAGTTTGTTTGCCAAGAAATCTTGGAAACGAAGTTGATTGCTTTTGGATCTCAATGCTCAATGTTATAAAAACTGGCATCTTTCTCGCAATCTATATTGAGACTACATTCCTTTATCAGATTTCATGGCAAAGAAAATTATAATCTTAATTTCTAAGTTCTTTATTTTTGATAATTTTTCTCTCTTTATTTAGTTTCCTTTCTTGATGAATATGTATTTTTTCTTGATTGATTTTGCTTTATCTATTAGTTTGTTTGCCAAGAAACACTAGGAACAGAATTCATTGCTTTTGGGTTTCAATACTGATGTTAAAAAAAGGGACATTTTTCTTGCAATCTCCATCGAGACTTTCTTTCTTAGATTTCTTGACAATCAAATTTATAATCTTAACTCTCAATTTCCTAATTTCTCTAATTTTGACATTTTTATGAGTTATTGTTTTTTTTAATTTGGTTACATGGTAATTATTTTTACATTGTTTTGTTTTCATAGTTTTTATTTTTGCCTTATAATTCTTTGTTTATTATTTTCTTTGTTTTTGATAATTTTTCTTTAATTATTTGGTTTCTTTTCTTGATAATTATATGTTATTTATTGGTTGATTTTATTTTATGTATTAGTTTGTTTGTCAAGAAACCATTGGATCAAAATACATTTCTTTTGGGTTTGGCAATCAGCAGCGATGTAGAGCAGAGAGAGAGGAGTAAAGCACAGAAAGAGGGTTAGGGTTCGGAGAAGGTATATAGAGAGAGTGTTTGTGATTATGTGATGGTATTGGGACCGTGTATCTATATATAGGGATATTTAGTCATTTTGTTTAACCTTGTCCATTTGGCCAACGTATTTTAGCGCCTGGATTTTTGATCAGACAAAATTAAAATTTAGATTTATGAACCGAGTGCCCTTTCAAAAATATCTCAAGGTTCCAACCTTTAAAACAAAATAAGCTTTAATTTTAATTTAGGACACTCGGTCTAAAAGTCTAAATTTCAATTTTTATTTACTCAAAAGTCCAAGCGCTGAAACACTTTGTCCAAAAGGGCAAAGTTCAAACAAAATGACTAAATTGTCCTTCCTATATATAATATACACAGTGGACCAAAACTCCAAACCGTCTCTCTCTCTCTCATCCACCGACGGTTCCAAACCCTCTCACTCAAATCTTTGCCTCCGATGACCTTGCCGCCATCCACCGTCCTTTTGTCGCAGTTGAAGTAGCAGCGTCGTCTCGCCTACCAGCTCTTAAATCCTCTATTCTCTGCCATTCATCGCCAGTTGGGACTTGAGATCCACCACACTAATGATCTCGTCGACCGTATAGTCTTGCAAAACGTCGCATTTTCTTTCAATCTCGCCATGCCTACTGTTAGCGTTGAAAGAGATCGTCTCTTCGAAGCCCTAGGCTGTACATACAGTAAGTTCTTTAATCGTTCAATCAATTTTCAATTCATCAAGTTCACAATTTGTTTACTCAGTTTCAGCTCTCAAATCCACTCACTGCCTCTCTCTATTTCACCTTCGCGCAATTGAAGAGTGCCATGAGCCACCATTATCATCATCTTCAAAGCTCAAAAATAGATTTGTTTATATATATAGCGAAATTAGATCTGAGAAATATATATATATATATATATGAATATGATTTTTTCAGAATTTTTTTTTTTTTTTTTTTGTTGGTTAAGATTTGAGCTCAGATTTGGAAAAGAATAATCTGTGTGTAAGTACAGATAATCATCAAGATCCTTCTTCTTCTTTTTTCTTTCTTTTTTTTTTTTTAGTTTTTGTTTTTGCTGTTGATGATGAAGTGTATTGCAGATCCATATGTTTGGTTTGAACAGATAGTAGGTGGTTTTTTGGTGAGGAAAGACCAACCAGAGTTGTTGAATTTGAGCAGATAGATAGTAGAAGATAGATAGATCAGTTGTTGTTGGATTTTCAACAGATAGATTTGTTATTGTTGTTGAATAGCTAATAAAATTGGAATAGATAAATTTTAATAGAAAAATGAAAAAAAAAATTGAACATATAATAAAATTTGGATAGATATTTGATCAGATAAAGGAAAAAAATTGAACAAACAATCAAAAAACTTGAATAAATAGATATATATATTTTGAATAGATAGGGGGGAAAATGAACAAACAAGGGGGAAAAAATTGAACAAATAGAAATAAAAAATTGAACAAATAGATATAAATTTGAATCGATAGTCAAAAAAAGTAGTCAACAGATAAATTCAGTGGTAAAATTAAAAATAAAATATATCCTCCAAAACTAATAAAAGGACTTATCACCAAATTATTTCATAAAGAGTGGACTTGTCACCAATAAAAAATATCCACTAAATCTAATACATTATACCCTCCTTAAACTGGATTTCTTACAAAATTCTCTCTTTAATTTGTTTTTAATCTAAATTATTAATTTATTGGATAAAATTGATGAAAAAAATTTATATTTTAATTATTAAATTCAATATAAATTATGTATATTTATGTTGAATTTAATAACTAAAATATATTTTTTCATCAATGTTACTCAAGAAAAATAAATAAATAATTTAAATTAAAAATAAATTAAAATACTATAATTTAAATTGTTAAAATTAAATTTTTATGATTTATTTTGTTAAAAAAAATCAAATCTATTTTTTTAAATATTTTTTCCAAAATAATTCTATTACTTACATAAATTATATAATTAGTTTGTCAAAATAAACTTGATTCCCATCCTTCATAATCTAATCTCACGTTTTGGAGAAATATGAATTATTTAAGTTTACCTTTGCTATTGAATAACAAAATTGAGACGTCATTTGTCAACTGTTTAAAAATAAGAGAAAATTGGTGAAAAATTCACTTTAATAATTGTCTAAGGCAATAGGTCCAGTGAATATTTTTTTATTGGTGAGAGATTTATTTTTTGTAAAATAATTTGGTGAGAAGTCTAAAATGATATTTTGTTTTCAATTTTAACCCATAATTTATCTGTTGAATTTTTTTTTATTATCTATTAAAATTTATATCTATCTGTTCAAATTTTTTGTCTATCTGTTTGAATTTTTTTAACCTATATGTTAATTTTTTTTATCTGTTGAATTTTTATAATCTAATTTTTTTTTCTATCCATTCAAACTCACACAATTTCCAAACTCTCTCTATTTGTTTCTCTCTTCAACACTCCTTTCTCTCTATCTATTGAAAAAATTACACTATTTTATTGCTTTATCTGTTAAAACAATTCTCCCTTCCTTCTTCTACCACCACCTTACATATGTCTATTCAAATTTCAAAAAAAAATTTCTATTTAGATTTTAACTTATCTATTAAATCTATCTATTCAAATATTTTATCAGTTCAATTTTTTTAACTGTTCAAATTTGCGTTTTATCTGTTCATCATCATCATCAAATTTGTGTTTTATTTGTTATTCATTATCATCATCAATAACAACAACAACAACAATCTGAGTTAAGAAGAATAAGAGGAAAAAACAAAACACATAGCTTTGTTTCATCATCAACAACAACAATAACTACAAAAATAAATAAATAAAACAAAAAAATCATAAGTTGATTGAGGTCTCTAGGGTTTCCAAAGTTCAACATTGCACACACATATATACGTATAGTTGCCCTTGTCGGCAAGCAAGAAAATTCATCAATTACACAAATCCACTTCAAAATTAGAACTAAAACACAATTTCATACATATATACAACAAACTCACTGGAGATTTGACCACAACAGCCTTGGGGTTCTTTCAGCCTGAAGTCGAGGGTCGACGAGGAAAATTGGTGGTTGTCCCCAAATGGCGGCTTCATCGAAGAGAATGGCAATTAGCGCTTCAAAGGCAGTTGATGTTGTTGTTGTGGCACGATCTGCTTTGTCGGATGACTAGCTTGCAAAGTCGACATCGAAATTGAGTGAACTCAGAAGTTAACAATTTGTTGAAGGACAGAGAGATAGATCGAGCCCTCCTTTTTGGGGGGGGTTTGGGAGAGAGGAATTGGGAATTGGGAATTGGAGAATCTGATAAATGAAATTGAAAAAATTGAAAGGAGAGGAATTCAATTGGAGGGTGAGATCTTCGTTGTCGCCACCGTGGACCACTACGATCTCTGCCAGTTGAGGTGGATCGAAGCACCTTCAAGTTTCATTTGTAACTCTGACGAAATGGACTTCGATGACATCATCTCGACCAACTGTACTTTACGCTGCCGTTGAGTCGATTGAAACACCCGCTTCAGGTGGAAGTGATGTCGGCGGCGGCGAATACGGCGGCGATGAGGATGACAGTCAAAGCTAGCTCCGCTTTGATGAATAGCAGCGGCAACGAAGGAACTTATGGTAGGGTTCTGGAAAAGGTTTACATACGTAGGGGTGAGCATGGTTCGGATTGGATCGGATTGGGGTAAAACCATGACCAATCCGTTATTTACGGTTCTTGAAAAATTAGAACCAATCCAATCCGTTTAAATCATGGAACCAATCCGAACCAATCCATTTAAATACGGATTGGATCGGTTTAGGACCACGGATTCACATAATTAAATAACGTTTGGTCATCTTATACGTAACACGGGCCTCCTTGATTACCAGTTAAATTGAAAGTCTTTATGTGATTTATATGCTAAGGCATGGAAAATTATGTGTCATGACTTGTTTGATGTATGTTTTGAGTAACAAATATGATGGTGTATGGAAAGACCTATTTGATTGGTTAAATTAGAAAGTTAAAAAGTAAATGGGTAGAGCCTAATTCACCTTAGCAAGAGTAAGTTTGGGTTAGGTTAATTAGACTATAATGAGGATTTATTTGATTAAGTGAATTGGATTGAATTTAGTTTAAGCTTAAAATTTGATTAAAAAAAATTGGGGCTAGCTCATTAACTTATTAACTCAAGTCAACAAAAGAGGAGTATAGGGAGAGAGAGAGAGAGAGGGGGGGGGTATGTTGTAGAGAGACTTGGGAGAGTTTTAGAGAAATGAAGAGAACTCTAGGGTTCAAGGAGAAGAAAGGGGAATTGAACAATCTTCATCAAATCATTAACTTAAGATAAGAAATTTTCCCCTAAACCTCATGAATTAAAGTTGTTCTCATCATAAAAGTGTGAAGAAATATGTGTAAGTTATTATGATAAACTCTAAAGGGAGAACTTGTAAGAATAACTCAAAATCTTCTCATACTTGTCATCTTCCATGATTACTCCCTTGTTTCTTGCATGATTCTTGAAGATGGAGGATGAAACTCCATGGATTTTGAGTTAGGAAATGAATATTTGCATAGTTGGTGATTTTTGGCTCTAAAGGCTAGAGTTTGATCTTGTTGTATAGCAAATGAGCTTTGTTTTGAAATCATGGTTGAACTTGGTTATTCAACTTGTTTTTGTGAGTTTTGGGTTTTAATTTGCATGAATTTGAAATTAAATTTGCAAAAATGAAACTTCAAACCATGGATTTTGAGTTAGGAAGTGAATATTTGCATAGTTAGTGATTTTTGGCTCTAAAGGCTAGAGTTTGATCTTGTTGTATAGCAAATGAGCTTTGTTTTGAAATCATGGTTGAACTTGGTTATTCAACTTGTTTTTGTGAGTTTTGGGTTTTAATTTGCATGAATTTGAAATTAAATTTGCAAAAATGAAACTTCAAACTTAGAGCAGATTTTTGGCCTGAGCTTTAACCTAGACCGCTCGTGCGGCCTGGTCCACCGCACGAGTGGTTAACCCTGTTTTGGCCAAAGTTGCATTCTAAAGTTCACCCACTCGTGCGTCCCAGGCCACTGCACGAGTGGCCAGACCACCGCACGTACGGCTGAGGCCACCTTACATATGGCTAACAAGGCCAACCCAGTTTGACTTTCATCCTGTTTTCTCTGACTTCCGGGCCTCCAATTGCATGGTATGTGCATGGGATGAACACAAGAGGGAATGAAAGAATGAATGGGATCGGGTTAAATAATAAGTAACAGATAAGTAATGACTAATTGAATTGAATGATTGTGTAATGAACCATTGTGCTTTCATGTGTCTATGTAGGTCAGACGTCTCATCCTAGTCACATACCACACGAAACTAACTGCGAGTAACAATTGTGTAAAGATATGTTTGAGTTTTATTTCTTTCTAAACTGTTATTGTTATTGTTAAGGACTGTTGAATGAATTAGTATTCCACCTCATGTCTTATGTTCACGTGGCCCATATCCGGGGGTAACAATACCGTGTTTCTATTCATGTGACCCTTACCCCGGGGTAATAATACCGTGGTCTCTGCTCACGTGGCTCTCGCCTGGGGGTAACAATACCGTGACCTATATTCACGTGGCCCTCACCTGGGGTTAATAGTACCATGGCCAACTGTGTATGAGGCATTGAGTTATATGATTATGATTTGAGAGACTGACATATACGCGCGTAGATCCTTATGATTGTTAATGCTGTGTGACTTGACTTTCATGTTTAAACGAACATTATTCCTAACCTCTTTATATATTGTTGTTCACTAGGCTTTGGCTCACAGTTTATATCTTTCATGTAGGTGATCAAGCTCAAGAAAGGACTTAAGGACGTCAACCTACCTTCTAGATGTCAAGCCAACTGTTGTGCCTCCCTTTGAGGTTTCTTTTGGGTCTAACTCCAAAGCTTTTTGGTGGTTATGACTTCACCCTTTTGTTAAGTAGTCAAGAGATAGTAAAGATATTTTGGTTCTATAAATGTTAAATGAAGGGATTAAGTCCCCAGGTATTGTATATACTTTTGGTACTGATATATGTTATGGTATTGGATAATGTGCAATGATGCATATACAAGGTTGTTTATTCATTTTGGTTCACAGCTCATTAGACGATGTATTGTGATATTACTGGCTTCCGCCAACCCCGTTTACTGTTTACTGTTAAGCAGGCCTTTGGTAGTTTTGGATTACTGGCCGATTACGTCCTTATTCCTGTGGAGCGGGGGCTGGATCGTGACAGAGTGGTATCAGAGCACGAGTTCTACCACACGTACGCGTCCAAATGAGCTATACGATGTCCTAGAAAAGGAATTAGGCCATTATATTGCATGTGTGAGTGTGTGTGGATTTGATATTGGCATAAATGATATGACTATGAGAACTGCCTTGCTTATGTTTATTATTTCCTGTTTTTATATAGCCAAATGGATGCAAGAAATGTAGATGATTCAGAGTTGTCGGGTGCTAGAATAGGTAGACTGGAAAGGATAGTAGAAATGTTGACTGAATCTTTGAGGTAAAGAGAGCAAGTCCCACCTCCTTCTCCATTTTCGGTGCAACCAGAACCGATTAACAATGATGACATCATAGCCTTAACACAGAAGTTTAATAAATTGAAGCCGCCAACCTTCTAAGGAGGTCTTGATCTGTTGAAAGCCGAGGCTTGGATCTTGGAAATAGAAAAGTTGTTTGAGGTTTTCCCATGTTCAGAGGTACAAAAAGTTTTGTTAGCTACTTTTACTCTTCAAGAGGAAGCAAGACGGCGGTGGATGCTAGTCCAAGAGGGCAACAATTCTATGACGTGGGTTTTATTTAAGCAGGTGTTTTATGAGAAATATTTCCCCCAATGTGTTTGTGACCGTAAAGTATCAGAGTTTAAGTAGTTGAAGCAGGGTACCATGTGTGTGGCTGAGTATGAGGCTAAATTCACGGAGCTTGCTCGGTATACACCACATATGGTAGACACGGATTATAAGAAGGCTCGCAAGTTTGAAGGCGGACTTGATGTGGAAGTGCTGGACAGGGTGAATATTCTTCACCTAACAAAGTATATAGATATTCTTAATCGCGCTCTTATGGTCGAGGCCAATATTGCGGCACTTAAGCAAGCTAAGGCACAAGTGATTAAGTGAAAGGGAAAAAGACAAGGGTTCAATTTTTAAAAAAAGGCCGAACTAATTTCCAGAATAAGAAGCAGAATACAGGGTCAACGAGTTCCAATCAAAGAAGTAATTCTATACCGCCATGCTCTGAATGTGGAAGAAGGCACAAAGGGGTGTGCTATAAACTTTCTGGGGCTTATTTCCGGTGTGGCAAAATAGGCCACATGGTTAAAGACTGTCCTCTCTTATCCCAAGGCACAAACAGACCACTAGCAAGCTCGACAGCATCCGTTTCTGTACCGAGATCAAATTCTAAAGCTATGACAGGAAAAGAAACATTAAGGCAAGGCCGGGTTTTTGCTCTTGTGCCAGGAGACGTCCAGAACACAGAGACAGTAACGTCAGGTATACTCCCTATCTGTGCCCAGAATGCTTATGTTTTGATTGACTTAGGGTCTACGCATTCGTTTGTTTCATCTATTTTTTTTCGCAAATTAACTAGACCCTTGGAACCGATGAATTCTTTGTTAGTTGTATCATCTCCAACTGGAGGGTCTATGATGTGTGCCTATAAATATCCTGCATGTGACATTGTTGTTGGGGATATGCATTTATATGTTAATTTGTTGCTCTTGAATATTGATTATTTCGATGTAATTTTGGGGATGGATTGGTTATCGAAATATCATGGGACGATTGACTGTGTAACTAAGCAAGTTATTTTTCGCCCACCTGATTTGCCTGAATTTACTTTTAACGGTGTTGGTGTTGTGCCTCCTCCATATTTGATTTTATCTATGAAAGCGTGCAAACTAATGAGAAAAGACTGTAGAGGATATTTGTGTTGTGTATTGCATATGCCTATTATTGAGAAATAAAAGGTAGACAGTATTCTTATAGCCCAAGATTTCCCAAGTGCATTTCCCGATGATTTGCCAAGGGATTTGATTGATAGGGAAGTAGAGTTCACTATTGAGACAATACCGAGTACACAGTCGGTTTCCAAGACTCCGTACTGAATGTCGACCACTAAATTGAAAGAGTTAAAAATACAATTGCAAGAGTTGCTAGATAAGAAATTTATCAAGCTTAGTACCTCACCATGGAGTGCTCCGGTCTTATTTGTGAAAAAGAATGATGGCTCATTGAGACTTTGCATTAACTACCGTGAATTAAACAAGCTGACCATGAAAAACAAATATCCGTTACCCCGTATTGATGACCTATATGACCAATTGCAAAGGACGCAAGTTTTCTCCAAAATCGATCTTAGATCTAGATATCACCAATTGAAAGTCAAAGCGGAAGATGTAAAAAAGACTGTTTTCCGGATAAGGTACGGCCACTATGAATTTCTTGTTATGCCCTTCGAAATAACTAATGCGCCTGCTGCATTTATGGATCTAATAAATAGAGTCTTTAAGCCGTTCTTAGATGAGTTTGTTATTGTTTTTATAGATGACATTTTGGTTTATTCCAAAAGTCAAGAGGAACATGAACGTCACTTGCAACTTGTTTTGCAAACTTTAAGGGAGAAGAAATTGTACACCAAATTGTCTAAGTGTGAATTCTGGCTCGATAGTGTGACATTTTTAGGGCATGTAATCACTAAAGAGGGCATTTTAGTTGATCTACAAAAGATAGAGGCAATTGTCAATCGACACAGACCAATGTTACCGAAGTTCGGAGTTTCTTGGGTTTGATTGGATATTATTGCAGATTTGTAAAAGATTTCTCCAAAATTGCCTTACCGTTTACTTAGCTGACACATAAAGGGGTACCATTTGATTAGACTGATATGAGGGAATCAGTTTTTCAAGAATTAAAGACTCGGCTTGTGACTGCCCCAATTCTCACCTTACCCTTAGGTACGGATGGTTTTACTATTTTTAGTGATGCATCTTATAAAGGGTTGGGATGTGTGTTAATACAGAATGGAAAGGTAATTGCATATGCTTCCGGCCAACTGAGTCCACATGAAAAAAACTACCTGACTCATGATTTGGAGCTTGCCGCAGTAGTTTTTGCATTGAAGATTTGGCACCATTGCTTATATGGGGTGACATGTGAAGTTTATACGGATCACAAGAGTCTCAAGTACTTTTTCACCCAAAAGGAGTTGAATATAAGACAACGACGATGGTTGGAATTAATCAAAGATTATAATTTACAAATCTTGTATCATCCGGGGAAGGCGAACACTATTGCTAATGCCCTCAGTCGAAAAGCAATTGGGAACTTAGCTTATTTACTCACTGGACAAAGAGAATTGTTTCAAGAGTTAGAAAGACTTGAAATTGAAATTGTTTTGCAAGAACAAGGTGGGACTTTAGCTGCTTTTACTGCACAATCGGTACTCATTGAGGAAATTAAGGAGAGACTGCAACAAGATGAGTTCCTAAAGAAAGCGCTTGATGAAAGAGAATCTAAACCGAGACCGGGTTTTATTTTTGAGAGTGGGGTATTAAAATTTCAAGGGAGGTTGTCTGTATCCAATGATGTTGACTTGAAGAGATGAATTATGCAAGAAGTCCACAGTTCAAAAAATTTCATTCATCTAGGGAACACGAAAATGTATCAAGACTTGAAGTTCAATTTTTGGTGGCTGAGAATGAAGAAAGACATTGCTAAATTTGTGTCAAAGTGTTTACAATGCTGTAGACACCCCATTTTTGACCAACCTTGAGACTCAGACGTCACCAGTTGAGCGCTCGGTGATATTGCATATTGTGCTCGTTCAGAAGTTTCAGAGTCTCAGCTGCGAGCCTTGCCTCCTAACTTCCAAACTCTTTTGTGCTTTGCCTCGGTTTGCGAACTAGGCTCCGTTTTCTCTGTTTTCTCTTCCCGAACGGAGGGAGAGGTCTCGTAGATCATCTCTCAGTGGCCGTAGGCTACGTTTCGTGGTCGTAGGCCGTTTTGCTCGTTTGGAGTCCGGTTTCCGGTTTTTTGGAGCCGTTGGTCGTGTGCCTCGGTTCGGGACTGCTTAACCACCTCCGTTTGCTCCAATTTTTGGCATACATCTTATTTACTCCCTTTTGAGGGACACTGCGGTCCGAGAGACCAACTTCGTGGTCGGACACCACTTCCGGTGCCTAACAGCCCACTTTCGGGGCACCGAACTGCATGTTTTGGCTCCCGAACCTTCATTCTGCATTTTTGGGCTCCGACCCAAACTTGAGTTAGTCATATTTTGAGGTCCTTTTCATGTTTGATTAAGGACCTTTTACTGTTTGAGATCTCCTATTGCCACTTGTTTCTTTACCCCTCTTTTAGGCCTTTTCTTGCATGATAGTTTAGGCCTACTTGTATTTATTTTCGTGGCTTGTCATAAACTAAAAAGTGTCTTATTTTGAGCCCCTCTTAAACTTTTTTGAAGGGCTCTCTTCGGTTTGAGATCTCCTACTATCACTTGCCCCTTTATCTCCCTTTTAGGCCAATTTTGGGGGGAAATTTGAATTTCATTTCCCCCCCCCCAATTTTCCCCCTCTTTTCCACCCTCTTGTGTCTATATAACAGGCCCCCCAGCTGTGTTTTAGGAGTTAGAAAATTTTGTTTTGGAGCTCTCACATTAAATCTCTCTCTCTCTACTCTAAGCCTTAAAAAACCCTTTTGATTCTTACACCATTTCCTCACCATCACCTAGCACCACATCACCACTCCATTCCAGCAGCTTGGAGGGTCTTTTCAGAGCTTAGGAGGAAGCATTTCTTGGTCCAAAACGCTGTCAAAGATTAGTCTTCAAGGGTAAGTCCTCTTCTCCCCTTTTTGACCCTTTTCTTGGTTCACATCTTAGCTCTTTGTGCTTGCATGTTGGGGCTCCAACCCTAACTGAAAATATCATTTTTTTGAGTTCTATTTCATGTTTGTTTAAGGGCCTCTCACTGTTTGAGGCTCCCTTTTTGCACTTACTTCATTACCTCCTTTGTATACCTTTTTCTTGCATATTATTTTAGGCCTATATGTAAACTGTTTTGAGCTCTAGTCCAAACTGTAAAGAATCTTATTTTGAGCCCTTCTTCAACATTGTTGAAGGGCTCATCACTGTTTGTGGCTTCCTTTTTCCACTTGCCTTTATATCCCTCTTTTGGCCTCATGTTTGCATGATTTGTTAGCCCCTTGTGTTTGTGTTTCTGGACTTTGGTCCAAACTGTAAATGGCCTTATTTTGACCCTCTCTTCATGTTTTATCAAGGGTCTTTTACTGTTTGATGTTTCCTTTTTCCTCCTTGTGTTTAGACCTCTTTTTAGGCCTTATTTTGTATAGTATTTTGAGCATGCTTGTGTGCTGTTTTTGGCTCGGCCACCAACTGTATAATACCATATTTTGGGCCCCTCTTCAACATTGTAGAAGGGCCCTTCTCTGTTTAGGGACAGCAGCTGCCACTTGCTTCATTATCTCTCTTTCGGGGCCATTTTTGCATGCTAGCTTAGCCCCATTTGTGTTCACTATTTGGCCTTGCTTAAAACTGTAAATATGCTTTTTTTGGGACTGCCTTGAATCTGTATTCATGCTTCATGATCAAATAATGCATGCTTTGTATAGCTATAGGTCATTGCGTATGCCTAATTTTGCATTTCGGGTACCATTTCATGCATCGGGTGCCATGTTTCCATGATTCGGGGCTGTTTTGCATCATATTTTGCTTCTTAAATTTGCATGTTTGCATATCATTTTTCATGCCTTGCCATGTCTTGTTAGAGTGGCATTTGGTGTCTTAGGGTCGGTCCTCGGTTTGCGTGCATGTGTGTACGCATCTCGAGTGTCTCATTTTCATCTCATGGCCTCCTATGTGAGTGTGGCTGAGGTCCACTTGTGTTGGTGTAAGCCCATATTGCATTGTGTATGCCATTTCATTTCATAGCATTGTGTATGCTAAGCCGTATGTTAACGCATTGTGTATGCCATGTTATCTCGTGCATCATGTATGCCATTTCATAGCAGTGTGCATGCTAGGTTGTATATTAGTTGCATTCATGCATGTCATGCATATTGCATTGTGCTTGGGATAGGAGTTAGCCCGAGCACGGGAAACGAGGGACGTTTCGTACTCCGAGTGACGGAACGTGTCTCAATTCCAAGTCACCGACACTCCGGATTATCCATGATGGAGTTAGGTTTTAGCTGTAGTTTCATGTGCATTCTTCCTATATTGAGTTGTGCATTTCGACTCCTCGGCCATCATGCATCGAGATACGTGATTGGTGGCACGAGGATCGAAGCATGCATACATTTGTGAAAATACATTGCCATGCCCCTTTCCTGCTCTCTGTTGCAGCAAATCAAGAATCAGCAGTCTTCCGGGGCTTGGCGCGTTTTCCAAAAAAATATTGCGAAACAGAGGCTAATTGGGGCATCACAGTGGATTTCTGTGCAAAGGCGACCCGGACATGCATCATCCATCATCTGAAGAAAAGTCAAGGCAGTCCCTGGCTTGCATGCCAGTTTATTGTTTTCTTAGTTAAATTGATAATTAATTAGGATTTTTGTAATTATTTGGACTGTAATTATTTGGGACTGTATATTATTTATTCGGACCCTCTGCGCGAGGGCATAACTGTAATAAGTGTGCGTGTGTGTGATGTATGTCTTCCAACCCCACGTCTTTCTCCCTTTTATTTACCAGCTTATGATGGTTAGATTAGGACATGTTTCAATTAGCATACAGTATGATCGCATGTTTGCATTCATTCATCTGTTTTGCACGCACCATGCTCGGCGCATTATACTAACTGCATTGTATTTTCAATTCCAAGTTGAATACATGTTAGCTGTAGCATTTCATATGCCATGTTTAGAATAGCCGAGCCTGCTATAGTTGCATTTTTGCATGTGTTGCATTAGGCATTTTTGTATAGTTAGGATCATGCATGGATTTCTAACATAGCTTTGGCTTGGAGTACATGGTAAGTATTTATGTTTTAGCATCCCCGCATGTGTGTGAGTTACTGCCATGATAGCATGCTTGCCATGAGACTATGTGCTTAGGACACCGTGTGCATTGGTGTGCCTAGGACACCGTGTTTGCCATATGCTATTCCTGAACGGCTTGCCGGAGGCTCACTTCGAGAAGCGTGCCATAAGGCTAACCGGTTGCGGGCTCTGCCACGACGGGAACACAAACCCCATTCTACCGGGGCACCCTTTTTTACCATTCGACCTAGTGCATATTCGGAATCCATAGTGACCATTCCAAGCTAGGACAGGTTGCTTACCCGAGTTTAGGTTGTTTGAAACCGCTGCGTGCGTAGTAAAACCCTAGCTCCTGACAAAATAGGACAGGGAAACCCTACCCCTTCATAGGGGTGTTTTGGCCCTCACTTATCTGTTATGTGCTTTAGAGTGCGTCTCTACAGGAATGCATGTGTCAAATTTCTCAAAAATAAAATATTTAGGTGGCGACTCTGTATCTGGCAAAGCAGTCCATGTTTGGCACTTCTTTTCAAAATCTGTTTTCTCAAAACGATTTGCCGGATTTGGACTCTTTGGTTCAGATTTAGAACTGTGACAATTTGAGAGTCCGAGCTGTAGTAACCCCAATATCGAACAGAACGGGAGCTCGTCCCTCCCGAGGCGTTCGGGGACATCTACAAATGCCAACAAGTCAAAGCCGGGCATCAACGACCCACGAGACTGCTCCAGCCACTTCCAATACCGGAGTGAAAATGGGAGCACATCACTATGGACTTTAAGGTTGGACTAGCACGTTCTACTAGAGGTATGGACTCAATTTGAGTTATTGTTGACTGTTTAACAAAATCTGCCCATATCTTACCTGAGAAGACATTTTATAATATGGATAAATTAGCTACAATCTATATTAATGAAATTGTGAGATTGTACGAAGTTCATGTGTCCATTGTTTCTGATAGGGATCAGAAATTCACTTCAAGATTTTGGCAAAGCTTGTAAAAGGCATTAGGAACTGAATTGCGACTGAGTAGTGCATATCATCTATAGATCGATGGGCAATCGAAGAGGACAATACAAACGTTGGAGGATATGTTACGTATGTGTGTGCTAAACTTCCAAGGAAATTGGGAGACTCATTTGACCCTAGCAGAATTTGCTTATAACAACAGTTCTCACTTAAGCATTGGCATGGCGCCTTACGAGGCTTTATATGACAGAAAATGTTAGTCACCGATTTGCTGGGCTGAGGTTGGAGATAGACCTTTGTTAGGGCCCAAAATTGTGTAAGAAACAACAAAAAAAGTGAAGTTGATTCATTAACGGTTAAAGACAGCACAAAGCCGACAGAAAAGCTACACGGATGTGAGTAGGCGGGATAGAGAATATGAAGTGGGCGATCATGTTTTCATAAAAGTGACACTGATAAAAAGGCAAACTCGTTTTGAAGCTAAGGACAAGTTAGCACCCCGGTATATTAGGCCTTATGAAATCATTTAGAAGATTAACTCGATAGCGTATCAAGTGGAACTTCCCCTAAGTATGGAGCACATG